ACAAGATGGCCTACATTTGAAGTTGATTTTCAATTTTTTCACTAAAATTAAGCGATTCAATACAGTATAAAAAAAAAGTATACAAGAAAATAAAAAATCCTTTGTTCAGGAACCCGTTAATCTAATATATTTTCTAAATCTACCTTTAGTTTTGTTTTCAGGTGCATCAGTTTGAAGAAATCTTGCTCACCGCAAAGCAATTGGCCACCCACGCCATTGCCTGTTATGACGAAATGAATTAACCTTTTCTAAAAACAAAACTTTTTTTATAATTCCTTAAGACATACTTTGTATTATATTTACACTTTATTAATAAAAATTATTATTTAATACCTTAAAAATACACACAAGAAACTGTCCGTTTCCATTTTCCTGACTGCGACTGACCCTTAAACTTCAAACAATCTAGATAAAACTTTTCATTCATTATTTTCCAAACGAATTTTCCAGCATCATCGTTTGTCCCAATACAGGCACGAGATACGTCACAAAAACAACTTTCCTCCAATCGTCAACAGTACAACTAGGCCAATCGTTAGAGAATTAAAACAGCGTTTTGATGACAAAAGTAGTAACAGCAAACCGATTGTGCAATTACATAAAAGGGATGCGTAGATGAATAGGTATATGTTTTTCACTCTCAACTCTGTTCCGTTTTCTTGTTATAAACAATTTAATTCAAGAAAATCTTGATTTTTGTCGTTTTTTGCTTATAAATTTTAAACTAATGTAGCAATATAAATAAAGGAAATATATTACACCCTAACGCTAGAAGCACAGTTATAGATTTTTGATTGCGTATTGTTTGTTTTGTCTTACTATGTGACTGTGCACAGTGTATAAAATATTCTAGAGGCGAAACGGCTAGTCGTAGTCGCGTAGACTGCTAAAATTGTTGTCCAAAGTACTCCAAACGACTAAATGACTTTACTATTCTAAAGGTTGAAATTGCGCGCTGTAAAAACCGTAACTGAAGTTCGAAAGAAAGTTAATCGCGAAAATAAGTTAATTGGCACGTCCATGTAATAAACGATCCGTCGAGGATTTCTACCGTGTCGTTCCGCGTCGGACAGAACATGCCCCCCCCCCCAGCCCGGTAATCGATACGAGCAATCAATGAATGTGTTACACGACGTCGTATGTGCTCGTATGAGCCTCTATCATGTTTGGTGTTGCTGCCACGGAGATTGGCCTTTACTCGTCCAATATGCCAGGTCAGAGGCGGAAGATTATCGTCCTTCAGCATCACGATAGTCCTCTCTCTGGTGGGTGCCAGTGCTCTACTTAAATGACCCATGTACGATGCGATATGTCGTACGACAGATCGTACGGACACCGCCAGTTTTGCCATTCTGAAATAAAAATACTAACTTCTGCAATTTTTATCAGAACTTTACGGAAGTAACTTCAATCGATTCCTGATGTTTTTGCGATGAAAATGAAACCGCACATGACATAATTTGGCCAATTATTAACGAAATTACATAAAAGATCTGATTGCATAATTGAAAAGTTGTTTCGTTAAAAATAGTCCGATTTACGCGATGTGAGATATCATTTTAATTGGCAGAACACCAAGAACCCAATGGCACCACGGTCACGTTGATACGATGAAGAATAAAGAATTTGGTTTTATGAAAAATTGATGAGTCGATTGCCCGTTCATCCCGAGACTGTCGAGCGAACCCAGGTAGGCGCTCGGCGCAGAACAAAAGATACGGGCAGTCAATCGTAAAATGATGTACTGCTGTACATAAAATGTTTATATTTTTCATCGGATTGTCGCGAAAATAGTATCAATGGATTCCTTATGCTTTCCCGATAAAAATAATATCAAACGCCACATAATCGCGGTAATAACCTTGTACCAAATGTGAAAGGTTGCATTATGAAAAGTTCCGGCGTACAACAGATAGTATCGTCTATGGGACGTTTTAGAGTTTCGTTCGTTTTTCAAGCTTTATGCAAGCCTGTGCAACACATGGGTCTCACTTGGCGAAAGTGCCGCCTTTCGCTGGGCTCACGGCACAGGCCATGCTGTTATAACCTGAGTCCTTCAAATCCCATAATAGTCTTGCCCCTACCATTGACCTCTGTCTCTCTCAGAGTCTGTTTTTTTTAACACAACATAAGAACATCGGGTGGCCCGGCTCTGGACAACTAGTTTGCATCAGGGTGGCCAAGCACAATTGCGGGGAAGTGAAACCACGTTTTTAGTTGGTGAACCAAAACCACGCGGCGCTAGTTGGCATCACATACATATATCTAGCGTATCGGTGAGTACTACCAACACCGGTATGAAATTTTCAATGTCGGTGTCGGTCGCCGTCGGTTTCCGTCGGTACTCGTCGTCATTTGCAAAGTAACAATAGATCATTGTCACTGGCACAATGGTACATTCACTCACCTGGCGAGCGTGGCAGTGATCTGATAGCCAGCGTGACTTGATTTTCTTGTGACATTTAACTGTGTTTTTTCTGTGTTTTATTGTGATTGTTTTTTGTGTGTTTCTTTGTGTATTTTTATGTGTTTTTTGTGTGTTTGTTTTTTGTGTGTTCTTTGTGTATTTTTCTGTATGTTTTTTTGCAGTTTTGTGAAGTGGCACCTAGAAAGTGCCAAGTGAGAGGATGTACCTCACAGGAAACCCAGCTTCGGCAATTTTCCGATCTGATGAAAGATAGGGAACGCTGCTTTCAGTGGATAGCAGCGTGTGATAATCCCTGTCTCCAGAACATACCATCAATGAAAAATGTGAAAATCTGCGATGTCCATTTTGAGGATGTTTATAAATTAAATGTCCGACTGAGTACTTCAGCAGTTCCAACGCTTCATTTGCCAAGTATGTATACATAAAATAAGCATATTTATAGGGTCGTATTCACAATCGCGACTTGAGCATTGTTTTAAGAAGTTCTTAACTAAGTTCGCCATTCTTTAAATTGATTTCTTCGGAGAAATGAACTTGTTTTTTGGCAAAAAACAATTTCATTTGCTCAAAAACTTGCATGTTTTATAAAAACAATATGAAAATGTATATTGTTTGCGCATGTTTCTTTTTAATTAAAAGAATGGGTTATGAGTATGTGTGTCATTTTAAAAGTTCAATGTTTTGAAGGAAATGAAATGTTTCTTTTGCATGGTTTTAAACATTTCATTTCCTTACAAAATTAGAACTTTTAAAATGAATATTATAATTACATTGTAATTGCGAGTGTGTATCTTTTTCTTCTTCGAAGAAATGAAATGTTTTTTTTTTGGCAAAAAACAAGTTCATTTGCTCGCAAGGAGAAATTTTTTAAATAAATAGTTTATTAATAAGTACTTTTTATTTCTGTTTCAGGAATTATATCTGGTCTATCGGAAGGGTCAGCATCAAATATAAGATTTCGAAAAACACTCGTTTCCGAAACTTTCGTTTCTGAAAAATAAATTTTTAAAAATATCTAAATTACGATTGACGAGTGTCAATCGTACAAGTGTTGGAGATGTAATAGAAACAGCGTTATAAACTACAAATTATAGCTACAATTAGCGACCGGAAACTGGAACTTCAACATGAGCTTTTAATAACCAACAATGAAATAAATATATAGGAATTTTAATAAAAAAAGATAATATAAAGAATTTAAAGAAAAAAATAATGTGTAAAATATAAAATAATATCTCGATATTAATCGTATAATTTCTAATCCTCAATAAACAATAATTATAAATGTTAAAATTAATCTTACTTCATAACAAAAATAAAAGTTTATTAAATCTAAAGATACAAAAAGTATCGATAAAACTATTAATAAACCATTAAATAATAAAATATAAATATTTTCATATAAATTTAAATTTAAAATATAGATATATAGATATAGATAAATATAGATATATTGCTTATTTTCCATTATTAAATTTATATTTATACTACACTTTTACCATTTATTCTCTTTCAATAACACTTATACTTCATTATGCGTATGCTTTTGTCTATCTTATTACGTTCATACTAGCTATACCTACTTTTTTCATCATCGCAAAAGACAATTTTTTCAATCTATTGTAATCAATCCAAGTTAGTTTACACGTACATAATGTTGTTTTACCAATTTCTATATATACACACCTACTTAAAAGAAAAATGTATGACCGCGGACATTTTTTAAACTTACTACGATATTGAACCATGATGAAAAGCGTATTAGACTACTAGCGCAACAACCGTAGCAGAGACGACAGCAGCGCTGCAGTGGACAGCGTGATAGCGGAGCAGCCATATTGCCATACAAATCATCAAGATTTCACAACAACGAAGCTCATCAAATTTTTTGAAGCAAAGAAGCAATATTTTCTCACAATTCTTTTTCTAAAATATTTTTTACATCACTCCGCATGCCACTCTAACGCAGGATTTTGCAATTTCACCTTTAAAATATGATAAAAATATGTTTTTAAGGAACAAATTTCATTTTACAAATTTTCGAAACAAACTCTTGATAGGTCGATAGATTTACTTCTCCTGATTACGAAATGCATAATCATGATGTGTTTGTTTTCATTATTGTGCATAAAAAACGCGAAAAACTGTTTCATAGTTCACCTATTCTCCGTTGCTCTTCGTTGGTGGCGCTAGTTTGGCTCCTGCGCAACCTTAAATATCAGTGTAATCGCAAAAGATGGGTAAGATTTTATTTGAATAATAGACGACGAAAAGAAATACCATACAGTGATTTATAGATGTTATCGCTTAGGTTCTCTCTTACTTGCTAAACGCTTCTTAGTCTAAAATATAGGGTGACGTTCGAATATACAAATACTACATCTGCCTTTAACTCATTACAAGGGAAAAATATGTCCGTGGTTTGGACGGTCGATATGCGAACGTCACATCTCATAACAATTGTAAATTCCGGTGCATATCAGAATATACAGGGTGTTTCTTTTAAGTGAGTACAGCAGGATATCTCGGAAGATATTGTAGTTATTACAAATCTGTTCCTACAAAAGTTGTAATAATTATTTTTTTGTGGGTGGAGTAATAGAGGAGATCTGGAGGTCAATGTAATTTTTTTAAATGGAATGCTATATTTTGTATACAAGAATATAGTAGAGTATCGAATTCTAAATAAAAAAGTGTTGACCTTTATTAGCCCTAAACCTAATAGGTAACGAGTAATTTTACTTTATTACTTGAAAATTTTCTTAACGTAAGCGGCTGAGAGCTAGCAAACGCTGCTGAGCAGCGTCGGTTGTGTCCGTATCAAAGTACTGCAATTATAATATTATAAATACATATTGAATATTTTTGCTAAAGATATTAAGTATCAATTAAATTTTCACTTACTTGTTCAATAATTTTTTATCCTTCTACGTGCTCACCATCGTTGGAAATACACATCTGTAATTTTCTTAAAAATTGTTTCTCAACAGCTTTTAAAATTTCCTCCGATACTGATTTACATGTAGTCATAATTTTTGTTCGTAAATCATTTACGTCTTCTACTGGTGTTTGATACACTAGTCCTTTTAAATAGCCACGGCCAATCCATTTATTTTCAAAATTAATATTCAATCAGTTACGAACTGTTGTAGCGAAATGGGGAGGAGCTCCGTCGTGTTGAAACCAAAGACTTTGTTTTTGTACTATTGGCATTTCATCTAAAACATTAGATAATTCTGTTTCTAGAAATCTTAAATAGGAAGCTGCATTCACGTTTCCTTCAAAAAAGTAGGGTCCAATTATTTTGCGATTATGAATACCGCACCACACTATTACAGATTTTCGGTGTACCTTTGCCGCTCGAGGTACATCAAAAACTGTTACGAGGCCTAATACTAACATTTCCTGCGACTCCTCACGTTAGCCATACGTGGGTTCGTCCGCATATCACCTTCCTGAGGCTCCGTACGTTAGCCATACGTGGATTTGTCCTCGATAACCAACCTCCTGAAGCTCCCTACGTTAGCCATACGTAGGTTCGTATCCGCGTCTACTTCCCCAAGGTACCCAGTGTTACCTAACACCACTGGTCAAGCCATTAACAAAAAAACCATATTCCAATAGAAAAGCCCCGGCTACGCCGGCAGCCCCCTCTGGCTCGTAACAACCACGTAAGCTTAGATTAAGAAAATTCGAAAATATTGTATTGATACCCACAAACATATGAAAATACAGGGTGTCCCGAAAAAATTGTAACACCTTGAAAGGGGTGGTTCGGGAGATGATTTGAAACAACTTTTTCCTTAGCGAAAATATTGTCCGAGGCTTCGTTGTGGAGATATTAACGGAAAACATTGACCAATCACATCGCGCGTATGCTGTTGGACCGCCCGTGGTAGGCGTGGACTACGAGCTAGGCGACCGCCCTCCGCCGCTATACTCGCGCTCTGATTGGTCGGCGTTTTCCATGAATATCTCCTCAACGAAGCCTCGGACAACATTTTCGCTAAGGAAAAAGTTGTTTCAAATCACCTCCCGAACCACCTCTTTCAAGCTGTTACAACATTTTTGGGACACCCTATATTTTCATATGTCTATGTTTTAACCGACTTCGAAAAGGAGGAGGTTACTCAATTCGACATGTATATACATATATATATATATATATATATATATATATATATATATATATTTTTCGTTTTTAATGTATGTTCATACATTTACATATAATGACAGCTGATTTCATGCTGTTCCCAGTTGGAAAAATTTATGAATTTCTTAATATTTATAACTACTGTTTTGCAAAATTCCTATTTTTTTTATGCAACTCAACAAGAAATTAACCGATCGAGATGCCTTCCCATTAAGTTGCACCTATTTGCAACAACATAGTGCACAGAGTGTAAAACAATGTTTGCTTTTGGCAAACAAGGTCAAGGTGTCGATGAATAAGAATTATTTTAAAACCCAATACAATGAAAGTGTACTCATAATATTGTCAGAGTTTCATATTGATAAATTATCTGAAAGTCTGTGAGAGAGAAAGTATAGGTATTGATAATCTAAGAATACCTTGCCTGGTCACGCCAAGCATTTCACTTCCAGGCCACAGAAATCTAGGCAAATTTCTAAACAGTCTCAATTTTTGGCAGATACGCCATTTAGCTTCTTCATTTTACCATCAAAGTGCGGAGCAGTCACTTTACATGAATTGTCATTAGGATCTGAACGTCTACTGATGAGTCTACCGACTCAGGATCAATGAAGGATCCGGCACTTGTAGTACGTTTTCAAAGTGGAGATTTTAAAGTTACGGATCAGTTTCTACATTTGCTTCCTATAATTGATGGCACTGCAAATGTTATGTTTAATGCAATAATTAATTTCTTTGTGAAGCACGACATTCCGTATAAAAAAAAACATGGTTAGATTTGAATGTGATGGTGCGAGTGTTATGATGGGACGGTATAATTCCGTTTCCCAATTATTTCGGAATGTAAACCCTGATTTATTTATATTGAAATGTTCGTGCCACACATTTGCATTATGTGCATCCTATGCTTGTAAGAAAATACCTGAGGGCATAGAAACATTTTTGCGCCAACTCCACAATTATTTTAAATTTAGTTATAAAAAGGTTTCAGAATATAAAAAGTTTCAGTTGTTTTGCGATGTCAAAATGCATAAATTCCCTTATGCGTCACAAACGCGATGGCTATCCTTAATTTCTGTTGTTAATAGAGTAATAGAACAGTGGCCAGCCTTCAAATTATTTCTTACAGGCAAAGTCATGTTGTCTAACAACGATCAGGCATAAATATTGTATAATCAATTGCATGATTTTTCGACATATTTGTATTTACTATTTTTAAAAATGATTCTGCCTTATTTGACCGAATTAAATAAGGCAATGCTATCGGAAAAGCCGCGAATTCAGAATTTACATAGTTGTTGTGGTTAAAGAGAAATCTGGGGATATTGCTGTATAATTGTTAAACTGTAGTAAATATTGGGATAAAATTTGCGCCACAAAATAGAAAAAAAGTCTCCCTTTCAAATGCTGTATAATTTAATCCATTACGTTTATTTTATTCTTCTTTATTCAACTTTTATACTCTTATTATTATAAAAATGTGAAATGTTCAATTTTCATACTTTTAATGCTATTTTTGGAACACATTTTTGAAACTGTACTTTGCATTTATGCAAAAAGAAATCGATTTTTTTAACCTGTTCCACTGGAATCCCCCGTCAGTAAAAGTTAAACATAAAATTTTTTTGTATGTTCTAATTACTCAGTACAATAATAATTGTTTCATCAGAATAAATAAAAAATATTAATGGGAATTTCGATTTTTTTCAATTATCCGATAAACTTCGGATAAAGATGAAAGTGCGAAAGTTATCCGACGCGACGGGTGAAACATCGGATAAAGATAAAAATGAGAAAACGTATTCTGCGGTTGAAACTCTCTGGAGAAAAAACAGGTACTTCTAGCGGTCGGATGAAGATAAAAATGCGAAAACTACCCGACGGGTAAAACTTTCTCCAGATAAAGCAGGTATCTTTAGCCGTCGGATAAAGATTGAAACGCGAAAACTACCCGACGGGTGAAACTTTCTGCAGATAAAGCAGGTAGCTTTAGACGTCGGATAAAGATAATTTAAGATATCTTTATCCTTCGAATAAAATTTACTTCGAATACATTTTTTTATTCGACAGTTATCGAATAAAGATAAAGATATGTATCTTTATTCAACGAGTAATAGATGAACAATTTTCATCTTTATTTAATATTTAAAATTTTTATTTAGATAAAGATTTTGCCCATCTCTGCCTATGACCAGTATTGATAGATACAGATTTACAGTTTATAAAATATCAATCAACAATATATATTCATATAAATTCACAGTATACCATATAATATAGAAGTACAGTTTCAGAAACAAGCAATAAGAAGTTGGAAGAGATTCATAGAAAAACCTTTCCTCTCAGGGACCTTACCGGCGTAACATAAACAAAACGTTTCGACGCAACCGAGGTCACCCTTCCCGAGCGTACCTTTAGACAAAGCGATCGTTCGATTTTCGGACACGTGGCACAGTAATATTTCGTTAATATTTGAATTTATTTCTGTAATTATTAATATTATCTACAAAAATTTTCAATAAATCACTTTACAAATGCAATGAACTAATGTATTAATTAAATTTTCCAGCGAGCCCCACGTTGGACGCCAAATAAGACCATTTATTTTTCTCGGAAATTTGGAAAGTTTAAATGAAATAATAATTTGAAAATTTGAAAAGGGCTGCCGAAACTGCACAAAACTCACTCAAGATGGGTAGTTGGACGATCCATGAGAGGTAAAGAGAGAGAAAGGAAAGAATAAGAATGAAATAGAATAAAGAAATTATAATTCAGGTAAAAGAATTTTCTGACTTACAGTATTTGATGGTAGATACACAGCAATGGCACGAAACACTTATCAATGCGAAGCTAAATTAATACGATGATAATGTAAAACTGGATTAATATGATACAAGATACAGTAAGAATAAAAGGGTCAACGCTCGCTTAATACAACCTTCCAGTGCCGAATCCTGGAACAGAGTGCCCAGGGTCCCCAAGCTCTACTCTTGTGAACATAAAACCCGACTTTCATTCACGCCCGGCGCTATCGGCGGCGCCAGTGTCACTCCTATAAGGGGGTAGACACGGCACGTGACCTCTCCGATTTGGCTGGTCGGTGTTACAGCAGATTCTTCTGCATAGAAATGGTAATACCCATAGAAACACGGCTGGTCGATGAAAACGAGGTGGCGCTTTCTGCTGTTTCTGAACGAAGCGAGAAACATAATACGCTCTTAGCGAGTGAAAATGAGATACATATAGTCTCTCCGATTTGTTTCGACCTCTCTTTCTCTCCTCTACTGGCTGTCCCTTTATATGTTGGCGCTCGGCGTGTAAACAGAATCGACACCTCGGTTGGGTATACATTGAAAGTACGTATAACCAAATATTCAAGTCCGACCAGCTTCGAATCCGTCCAGAGTTTCGAAGCGTCGACGAAGTAGAAAAAGAAAGTTTGATGAAGAAGAAAGACAGACTGATAAGGAATATTTTTTAGGTGTCTGCCTCCGATTGTTTTGATTTTTGGATATGTTTTGAAGGGCCGAAAAATAAGATATACCTACTTTTTATTTTGTCCCGTTTTCATATTTAGGGGGTGAAGCGATATAAAGTTTCAGCTGCAATAGGCTATCTCCGACTCTATCATAGATAGAAGAAATCTTTTTAAGAAAAAGTTTCATGGTTTTCTATCTGCATATAAAATCGGACCCAAAATTTTGTAAAAAAAATAATTTCTTTATAATAAAAAATTTGTTTATAACATTATTTTAAATGTAATCGCAGTTTATAGAATAACCAAAACGAAAATATTTTTTTTT